GAGTACCAGTGAAAATTAGTCATCTGTTTAGATAGTGTGGTTTCAGAGGGTCTCACTGACATGCCAACATTAAAGCAAAACCCAAAGTATTTTTTTTTTCTCTTGGAAGTGATTATTGGGAAGTGAGAAGTGGGATAGGGAGGAGGGGATGTCCTGAACAGAACGGCAAGCAAAGGCAAACACAGTGAGGCAGTGGCAGGCTTTGTTAAGTTCAGGAGCAGCAAAAGAGGCCAGCAGGTGGTGTGGAACTTAAGGTGGCTGGATCCCACATGGTTGACTGAACAGTTTGAGTCCGAGACCCCGTGGCTTGCAAACCATGCTCAGAGTGTTGCCCAAAATCCTGAGAGGAGGATGGAGGAGAAGGAATTGCGGCATGGCCTCCATCTCTCTCCATTTCTTTCTGTCTTTCTCTGGCAACTGCATAAGCTCTATAGCAAAAACAAAAAAGGGGGGCCAGCAGGTAGCATAATGGTTATGTTACTGGACTCCCTTGTAGTCGACTGCGGTTCGAGTCCTGGACCCAGTGGCTTAAAACTCACACTGGGTACATGTGCATGCATGCCCCAAATCCTGAGAGGAGAATGGAGGAAAAGGGATTGTGGCATGGCTGGGGGCCAACCCCCCGGGGGGGGGGGATTTCTTGCTTTCTGTCTCTCTGGTGAGTGCAGGGGTCCTACAGCAAAAATTTCTCTTGAAAAAAAGAAAAGGAACAGCAGAAATACTGACATGGTTAGAGCACTGAGCCATGGAGTGTGGGAACCATCGAGAGTGGGAGATAAGGTCAGGAACATAGCCATGAGCTCTGTCATGTAAGGTCTTCTCAGCTATTGAGGGATTTTTGGCGTTTACTACGCATGACATGGGAAACGGAGGCTCTTTAAGAGATGAGTTCCATGACTTAAACATTCTAAAAGTTTTGTTCTTTTGCAAATATGCTGTGGTTGGGATCAGTGGGGCAATAACAGAATGGGGGGAGCAGGTAGGAGGTTATGGCAATGACCCAGGAGAGAGATAATGGCAGCCTTGAAGCTGGTGAAATGTGATTGCATTCTTGATAGAGTTGAAGATCGAATAACTAGGATTTATGCACGCTATGACTGGAAGAGAAAGAGAGAAAGAAAAAATGGGCTGAAGGCTTCAAACCAGAGTTACTAGAAGGACAAAGTTGCATTTGCTGTGATAGGAGACTACATGAAGAGAAGTTTTTAGGGGAGAAGTAGTTTGAGTTTGGACATATTGGGTTAAGATGGCTATTAAGATATCCAGATGGAGATTTCTAGCCTGGAGTTATGAAATGAAAAAATAAACCCCCTTATGCTATGTTTATTTTAATAGGGGTAGCCCTCCCCCCACCAGGCTGCAGACTGGATCCATCCCACCTGCTGCACAGTGTGAGGTCGACAGTGGGTGAGCAAGTGAGGCTTTGTCTGTGTTTGCAGGCCAGCACTTGCATTGCCACCTGGGCTCTACTTCCTGCCTGATCAGGGGCATTATTGGATTCTCATGGGAGCAGGAAGCCTACTGTTATGCGATTATTTTGTTACATATTGCATTGTGGTAGTGATGAACATGGGGTGCATGGTGGACGTGGTGCGCTTGGGTCATTCCAGACAAACATCCGCCCACATGTCCATGGTGCCAGGAAGGTTGGGGATCATTGTATTATAATACATCACATAGCTAAATGATCTCTTTCTATATATAATCATCAAGATTCTGAATTCTACATTGGGCAAAATTAGAGCAACTGCATTTCTTGGCATATTCTCTCTTGAGGTTTATTTCTGCCAGTGTGTAATTCATATTGCAATGATTAAGTGCTAAACTGTGTGGCATGAACTCTAAATGCTAAATCAGTGCAGAGGGGGAGAAAAGCCAGTGGAAATTAGAGTCACTCAAGGAAATCTGCAAGGAGATGTGACACACGAGGGACATGGCTGGAATTTCTTAGCAAGGGGATCAAGAGAAGTAAAAATACACGAAGAAGGAAGAACATGATGCAAGGGTAGAAATGCCCTAAAGGAGGAGGAGGTTTGCCCAATCTGACATTCCTCAAACATGCAAATGATTCTTTAGGCTCTGGGATCGGGCTTACCTGTGCTGTTGAATTCTTCAGGCAATTCCCAGAGAAATGGGAGCTTCAACGAGAAAAAGACAAGCATAGACTTCCCAGAAAGCATATTTAATGGGTCATGTTTTTTTAAACATTAAACTGATGTGTTTTAATACTATTCTCAAGATATTTTTCTCTTGCAACCTTCTACCTCTAAAACTACCCTGGGGTAATGATTTACATAGCAGAAGAGGATGGAAACCTAACACCCTGAGCAAGTGTAAGCTTCAAAACCATGTATTTGTAAGCTACTAGCTAACATTTATCAAGAATCAAAATAGTCCTGTAAGTTGTACATAAGAGTGATCTAGGCAAAATTGGTGCATGTGTGTATGTGTATGAAGGGATCTTATATTAATATATTAAAGTAATACACTCTGGCTGTTTAAAGAAGACTTAAAGATTGAACATCCCTAATCTGAAAATCCAAAGTCCAAAATGCTCCAAAATCCAAAATGTTTAGGGTTCCAACATGGGTGATGGGTCACAGTCGCAATGCTGTAATACAGAAATTTATATAAAATTAGACTATGTGTGTGAAGGGTCTTCACAAAGTTTATGAAAAATGCATGTTTTGAAAAAAACTATGCATATATTTAAATTTTTTGTACTATAATAAACTTGTACTTTAATTTCATTTTTCCATAAACTTTTTGAAGTTTTCTTATATAAGGTATATATGAAACATAAATAGATTTTATGTTTAGCTCTGTGTCCCATCCTCAGCGTTTCTCATTATGCATGTGCAAATACTCTAAAATCTGAAAAAAATCAGTATCTGAAACATGTCTGGTCCCAAACATTTGGATAAGAAATGCTCAACTATTAAAGAATATTAGAAGTCTAACGAGGTGGCATGGTGGTTAAGATGGCTAGATCCTACATGACTGGTGGCATGGTTCAAATCCTGGACCCAGTGGCCTGAAAAACATTCCGAGGATACATGTGTGTATGTCCAAAATCCTGAGAGGAGAACAGAGGAGGGACTGTGGCATGGTCATCTCCTCCATGGTCATCCCCTCCATTTTCACTGTAACATGGTCATCCCCTCCTTTATTGCTTTCTCTTTTCTCTATTCTCTCTCTCTCTCTGGTGAGTGCACATTTCCTATAGCAAGAAAAGAAAGAAGAAAGAAAGAAAAAAGAAAAAGAAAGAGAAAGAGAAAAGAGGAAGAGAAGAAAGAAGAGAAAGAAAAAGAAAGAAAGAAAAAAGAAAAAAGAAAAGAAAAAAGAAAAGAAAGGAAAAGAGAAGAAAAGAAAGAAAAGAAAGAAAAGAAAAGAAAAGAAAAGAAAAGAAAAGGAAAGGAAAGGAAAGGAAAGAAAAGAAAAGAAAAGGCTGTTAGCTACTTTCTGGAATATTCCAAATCATCAGAGACTCAGGATTGGCAGGGGCATCTCTAGAAACAACTGGTAATCTCCCACCAGACTGCATGTACAAGTGATCCCATTGCCAGGGAGCAGAGGCTCTGGGCACACACACCCAGGGCTCTGTAAACTCAGTGGCTCTCTACTGAGTTTCCCCACACCCACCAGGAAACCAGGGCAGAGGGCACCTCCTTCTGCATACCTTGTACTTCCAAATCCAAGTGTTATGTAGGGCCACTGAGCCTAGGCCATGGGACATTGCCTGAGAGGCAGGTGACACTGGAAAGTCCTGTTCTGGCTTCTACTTTGGGGACAAAGAATGGAAAATGTAGAGAGAAAAAAAATGGAAATAAAAAATAAATGATACTGTTTGGACTAGCAGGTGGTATAGAGGTTAAGGCTGCTATATCCCACATGACCAACTTCCCAGATCAAGTCCCAGCCAGGTGACTTGAAAAATATGCCTGGTACAGGTGACACTGGAAAGTCCTGTTCTGGCTTCTACTTTGGGGACAAAGAATGGAAAATGTAGAGAGAAAAAAAATGGAAATAAAAAATAAATGATACTGTTTGGACTAGCAGGTGGTGTAGAGGTTAAGGCTGCTATATCCCACATGACCAACTTCCCAGATCAAGTCCCAGCCAGGTGACTTGAAAAATATGCCTGGCACATGGTGATTTCTCTCTCTCTCTCTCCCCCTCTCCTTCTCCCTCTTCCCTCGCCCCTCTCCAAAAAATGCACACACCCTATAGTAAAACAAAACAATGCTGTTCGGGGTTGCTGGACATCCATAACAGGTATACATAACCAAAGAGGGGTCAAAGTTAATCCCATCAGCCTTCTAGACGTGAGCTGACAAGGAAAAGGAGTAAGGAGAGAAATCCGGTGACCCGAGATGCCTCCCATGTATCTGCTCTCTGAACTCAGGCTTGAAATGAGCAGAGTCATCACATCATGAGGACAATGTGCAGAGAGGGAATAGCAGGAACTTCTGCCCTTATTCCCTCACTCCCTTAACACTGTTCCCATAACAATCAGGATTACAGCCAGATTAATGGGGTGCAAAGTTCGGTCAGTGAGCTGTGTACCTGAAGCCTTCACTTTTCTAGACCACCTTAGATTGAATAAAATTAATTTTTGTTCTCATTCTTTACGTTGCAGTTGTCAGAGAAAAACTGCAAGAGTTATAGACAAAATAAAGAAGATTAATTTTTTCAAGTTGTCGTGAGAGTTGATTTTATCACTCTCTGCACAGCCAAAGAGGGAGGTTTGTGCACATCACTTTCAAAAATCATAACAAAGAAATATCACAGAGAGGGAAGTGACAGATCACAGAGCATGGCTCTAAAAACATTGTCCAGCTTTTCAGTTCTCTGCGAGAGGGTGGTGTTTCTAAAAGATAAAAAGAACACAGGTTGAACTCCCAGAACCAGCAGCACAAAAAACAAAGAGATGACCAAGAAAGCACACCAGTCTGGGAGGTGGTTCTGTGACATTGTGTTGAGTGAGATCAGAGGCTCTGTGGGACAGAGGTGGGAAATTATCCAGAGAAGAGAAGTGCTGAGTGAACCAGGAAGTACAAGTGTGGTAGGACTGAGGAAAGGCTGGGGTAAAGAAATGGCCAGGATCCTTAAAAACCAGGGAGAGGAAATTAGATTTCATGCAGGAGGAAATAGAGAGTGACCAGAGTTTTTATATCAGAAGAGAACCAGGGGGGTCAACAGGTGGTATGGTGGTTAAGGCATTGTACTCGCGTATGGCCAAGTGTAGTTCGAGTCCCAGACCTGGTGGCTTGCTTTCTCAATTTCTCTCTCTCTCTCTCTCTCTCTCTCTCTCTCTGTGTGTGTGTGTGTGTGTGTGTGTGTGTCTGTGTCTAGTGAGTGTATGTACCCTGAAGCAAATTGAAAAATAATAATAATTTTTTAAAAAGAAGAGAACTACAACAAAACAAACATTAAGGAAGGGTGTGTTGCTGTATGTTGGAGAGAAGAAAAAGCAGAATAGAGGTGCTTTTACAGAATTTCTGGAGAACTGGCATGACTTGTGCAAGGAGGGCAATCAAAGTGGAAAAGATGATGTATACATAAAATTACAAAAACCGATATGCAATGCCCCAGAAGGGTGGCTTTTAATAAACAAAACAATCAGGAAATGACCCCATGGATTGAAGTCTCTGAGTACACAGGAAGTTAGAGAAGGAACTATTTGGATGGATATGGGAAAGAAGAGGCCTGAAAATGAGAGAGTTTGAAGTGATGGCCCAAAACCCAAGTTTATTTAAAATGGTAATTTTGTTCACAGATGGAGTTCAGGGTAAAATCCAATGTAAATGTGCAGATAACCCCGGTCCCCAGACCCATTGGTTTATAGATTCAGTAGCATCCTCTTCCCTCCAAGCCCACCAGATTTCTTGTGTTCTTTTATTTTTCTCCTTGTGGAATTATTTGTGAATAGGAAACTAGTTAAATTACTAAAACAGTTTAACACATGAAGATCCAGGGAGTCATAAAATTCCAGCTACTTGCTTCAGACTGCACAGGGAGTCTGTGGGGAAATGAACAGAGTTCCTTGACCTTCCATTGCATTCTTTCACATGATCGCTTCGTGATCAACAAAAACCTTTATTATCCTAACAGTGGGTAGGGACTTGAAGAGAAAAAAGTTTTTTGGTTCATTTTCATGTGGACTAAGTATTTCTGATCACAACTAGAGTCTCTGGTAAGGAGAGAACAGTATCAGAAAGGAGACAAAGCTAGGTCAATGAGGCATGAGTTTAATTGTCTGGATTTTGTTCATTGCGCATCTTACTTCTATAAATGCTGCTGTTGCCTCATTTGCAAGGTGCAGTGTTTTTTCCTGTGATTACTCACTGGATTAAAGAATAGAGCATCTGTATGTCTATTCTCTGACAGGTCACTTGGTCATTACCCTCTGCTGCACAATCGTCCTCTAAGGGGTCTGCATTGCTCAGTATTCTATTCATGTCTTTAACTATGATTTAGCTCTAACTAAAGACCCTGGCTTTGTCACAGACATTACACCAGTGAAATGGTCCATTGGTTCAGCTGGGCCAACATCAATACTGTGCATTTTCTAGTTGGTCTGGAATCTGGTAAGTGCTCCTATGAGCATGTTTGTTGGACCTAAGGTTGTCGTATGTGGAATATGCTAGGCTGAGTGTGTTACCTATACTATCTCATTAAATCTTCATAAGATATAAGGAAGGTATTAGTCCCCAAATTTTGCATATGAGGAAACCAAAACCCTAGAGAATTGTCCAACTTTCCTGTGGTTCTATTTCTTTTATTTTGTTTAGTGAGAGAGATTTTTGTTATAGGATGCATGCGCTCACCAGAAAGACAGAGAAAAACAGAGAGCGAAAGCGAGAAATCACCACCACCACCACCACCACCACCACTACCACCCCCCGCCAAGGGGGATGGCCATACCTCAATGCCATGGGATTTGGGGCATGCATGCACATGAGCCTCGCATGAGTTTAAGCCTCTCAAGTACAGGACTCAAACTGCAGTAGACTATATGGGAGTCCAGCGAGGTAACCATTATGCTGTCTGCTGGTCCCATCTGTGGTCTTATTTCTAAGTAAGTCAAAGTTGTCTATACCTAAATATACCATTTTTCCACTATGTTGGGTTACCTCCAGGCT